CGCAGATTTTACCCTTTCGGGAATTCTTGGCAAATTCTCCGCTGTTGTGAACGCTGATGCAGCCCGGACTAGACGAAGTGTGGTGTACCAAAGTGAGGCGTCACCTTTCAAGGTTACAGCTGAGTCTGGTGTAATCCTTAACACACAAAGGTTTACTTGTCTCCCATCCAGAGCGTTTTAACCAATGAAAATGTCTTTGTCATGTGTTTTAGGAATAATCTTCCGAATAAACTGTAAAACGGTTGGACTCTCATGCACGACAAGTGCATTTATGGGTAAACACTCAATGTGAAATTATGTAATTTAAGACATCCCTCGGTATATTAACATAACCAAACACCCTAAATTGGTTCAAGACAAGGTAGGTTAGTAGTGATGCTGTACACTTGTTTCCATTATGTTTATTTGCATAATAGAATTTTTTTTCGAAATCCGAAATAAGTTTAAATTATCGGTAAGTAGCAACTACATACTCTTAAAAGTCATTATACAACACAATATGGCTAACCAATCAGACAATGTATTACGTATCAAGGTCATAATTAAGGGTCAAAACAGCACCATGCTCATAAACTATACACAGTTATGTCCGCTACCTACTTTTTTAACTACCAAGGCTGTCATCATGGAGCATCGACGCACTGTACAGTATGACCAACAGATGACGTGTCGAGTGCCAGATTGATTTCAGTATGTCAAGATCACATTCTGGGGTCAAATTACAACTTACATAATATACAACTTCCTTTAATCGACAGTTGTGTAAGTTTTAAACCAAATGTGATGTCATACCGAACTGAACTATTACCAAAGTACATACTACCACTACTACCACCATCACCAATACCACTAACACCACCATTCTCACCACCACAAGACAGTGTTACGTAAGGTTGTGTAGATCTGGTTAGGTTCATGATAAATAATCTCAAAGTCGCGTTAAGTCAGAAGATGTTAGGCAAGACAAGTTGGGTCGCATTGGGTTAGGTTACGTAATGCCAAGTTAGTTTACGTAAAGTAAGATTAGGTCACGTTAGATAACCTTATTTATCTGTAAAAGAAACAAAACTGCCAAACTTTCCTACTAGCTACAATAGTAACAGTTTATGCCATTAAACATTTGTCATTAACAGAGACCCTGCTGAAGCATGCTGAGGTCTTGAACTTTATCGAGCATAATTTTGAATATTTGGAATACAGTACTTTGTTGAGAAATTCCCAACATTAATAAGTATTTTGGGTGACAAAAGGATCAATTGTATACTGTAATGAGTTTCCACTTTATCACTTACTCAGCTTACCATTGTTGAAATAATTGGTCATTTATGGACTCGAATCGACGATGTGAAGGCGTCTGTTACCTCAAGCAGTGTTTTGGGTAACAGAGTATTAGTATTGCTACACAGTAATCATGAAGACGAGCATATCTTTTCCACTGCAGAAAAAAGCTACAACTAGAGTTTTATCCAACAAAACCACCTTACCTTCAATTGTTGCATGAAAAACAAACTACTTCAACAAAGCCCCATCCTTCAAGTTTGATCTTAGCAAATCTTTACTTAAAAATGCAACGACCGCTGCTCCCATATACACACTGCTGGTCACTAAGTAGATGTGGGACAGTGACCTGTGCCCGGGTGGTCTAATCCCCGTATAAAATAAAAAATAAATACAAATAAATAATAATAATACTAATACACAGAGGACAGGAAATTAAAACTCAAGGTCAGAGCCCCAGCCTGTAATGTACACTACGTTAAAAGAAATTTAATGTTTCGCGAGAACATGGTGTATATATTATATGGTGTACATAATATAATACAAATTGTTTCCTCGTGTGTACAGGATTTATACCAGTAAAATTAAGTTTAAATAGACCTTAGAATTTGTTTAATTAATTGTCATTTTCCCTAAAAAAGCGCGGGTGGGAGGGGAGGGTGGGGTGGGGCATTACGTCAACTTTTGTGCTTCTGTAGTGCAAAATAGACCAGTATTTGGTTGTTAAAACGGTGAACGGAGATAAAGTTACAGGAAAAAAGTCACATGACTTGTACACATTGACAACACTATATATATATTTATATATATATATATATATATATATATATATATATATATATATATATATATATATATATATATATATATATATATATATATATATATATATATATATATATATATGATGGCATTGCACGTAGGTTAAGTTAGGTTTGGTTAATTTTTTTCCATGCCTTTTTTTCTGACTTTTCTTGTGACTTCTTTTCCTGGATTCGTTAAAACTTGGGACCTATGACGTAGCCTGGGCCAGACCTCGCGGAACTTCGTCACTATCTATACACGCTTACATCTGGCTCAGTATCTCAAAAATCCATTTATTATTTTTTTTCCGTAACTGGCGATAAGAGAATGCGTCAAGTTACGGTCAATTTGGAGTACATTTTCAACGCTATTCTGAGTACTTTCTTAGTGTTATAGCTTACGTGAACCAGTGTGCCAGTTACATTTATTTTAACATATCGGTTTAAGGAAAGATTTAATTTACTAAGATAATTCGAGTTCTTCCCCGCCAAGGGCTTTCATTGGGTAAGGTTAGGTTAGGTTAGGTGAGGTTCAGTTAGGTTGTATATTACATAATGCACAACTTTCAGGATATTTTAATGTTACATTAGTTACCTTATATACTGTGTACGTTGGTTACTGTATTTATTGTATTAGCCCTTATATACGTTACTTACCGTATACAGTACTACCGATTGTATTTTATACATAAGTTTATATCTAAATCATATAACTGGCAATTTGTGTCACTTTATTATAATAGTATTCTCAGTATTTCAGTAGTTTTAAAAACGTCAACTTTAATTCGTTGTTCCTTGGTTTCTGTCACGTTCGCTGCTCACATGAATTATCAACCAGGAAGTGTGTTTAAATATTATAATACCGTACAGGAAAACCAGGAGCGTAAAACGAGACCTCAGTCACGGCTACGTACAATGTTCCAGGTAATGATTCATATAAGATAAAAAACAAATAAGGATGTAAAAGGATCGAGGTATATATAAACGCTTTGTACGATTAGCTGAACTCACGCTGTCTTGCCCTCGCCGTTAAAACTGAAATAATTATATGGTGGTATAAAGTGCATCTCTCTTATAGTTATATCTGAGGGTTTGGTAGTCGATTATAGGCCTATATATAGGTTGCGGTGATCGTGTCAGAGTGGTGATGGGTAGGTCAGGTTAACTAATACAGTATATAGATAGACTGATATCTATGCACTAGAATCCTCCTTGTAGTTCAAAATGGTTCAGGTATCTATATACAAAGTGTGAGCGCACATACATATACAGTGTGCGTATACAGGTATATACAATTATACATATACAGTGTGGGTATATAGACCGTGGTAAATAGTGAGTTCATAGCCCGAGAAAGCTATTGAATGCTTATTTCCACGGGGAGGGTGTGGGGGAGTTTAACTGTGTAATAAAAGACTTCGTTCTGTCTCACTGATGCAGTTTTAGAGGTTAGGCTTTAACGACCATACTCCCACAAAGATAGAAAGATATATGTTCTTAACGTCTAAAGTAAAAACAAACCGAGTTAAGTGTCTGATCTAGCACCTCCACGCACCTTGACTTGAAATATATATATATTTTTTTGGGGGAGGGGACGCCTATCAACTTACACTCACACACGAACAAGGGGAGATGCCCCAATTATCAGGAAGGAAATGTGAGTGATTTATTATAGCTTGTTCCTTCATCTTTGGATCTTTTGGTAGTGTGGGTGAGGACGTGGTGGAGGGTAGTGCAGTGTGGGTGAGGGGGGCGGAGGGTAGTGTAGTGTGGGTGAGGGGGGGCGGAGGGTAGTGTAGTGTGGGTGAGGGGGCGGAGGGTAGTGTAGTGTGGGGTGAGGGGGCGGAGGGTAGTGTAGTGTGGGTGAGGGGGGGGAGGGTGTGAGGGTGGGAGGGGGTAGTGGGTGAGGGAGGGTAGTGTAGTGTGGGTGAGGGAGGGTAGTGTAGTGTGGGTGAGGGAGGGTAGTGTAGTGTGGGTGAGGGAGGGTAGTGGGTGAGGGGGTGGAGGGTAGTGTAGTGTGGGTGAGGGGCGGAGGGTAGTGTAGTGTGGGTGAGGGAGGGTAGTGTAGTGTGGATGAGGGAGGGTAGTGTAGTGTGGGTGAGGGAGGGTAGTGTAGTGTGGGTGGGGGGGGTGTAGTGTGGGTGAGGGAGGGTAGTGTAGTGTGGGTGAGGGGGGCGGAGGGTCGTGTAGTGTGAGTGGAGGGTGTGCGTACTGTACTGTGTTTTTATCATCGTAAGGTCAAAAGTCAAGTCCCAAAAAGACGCCAGCCAGCAGTTGTTGTTGTCCTCCTCCTTCGTAACTTTTGGGAGGCATAACTTTTTTATTTTTTACTGTGTACTCTATGAATGTCTTTCCTGACTTAGAAACAATAATTTTCCCAGACCACAAGATTCTCATGTCCAGTTCCTCCCCCACCCCCGATCACACACACTCACCATAACATTAGGTACGTTTTATCACCAGTCAGCCCCAGTATCAGACAACTCCCCACCTGACCCAACCAGTCGTCAAGAGAGTGTGTATATATACACAAATAACACCACCTCTGAGTGATAAGCTGTAGTAAGAGGGTGAGGGAAGGGGGAGAGGAAATGAGACATGGGGATGAGGAGGGTTAAGAGACAGGGCGAGGGAAAGGTGAGGGAGATGGGGACAGGGAACGGTAAATTGTTTAAAAATATAATGTAAATTTTATTCCTATTATTATCATTATTGCCGTTCACTCTGATGACTAACCATAGGTATTTTTGCAATATTGTATCTCAGTCCCGTGTGTTTATTGGGTGGTCAATGCCATGAACCAATGGATAAGCGTAACCTCCATGATAGCCCCGCCCCCTTGAGAGAGCACCCAATCACAACGTGAGGATGTTTGTGAGACGTGGGAACGGGAAGTGAGGGAATAAAAGCCGCGCTCCCCGTGCAAATGTTTTTAGTTCAGAAACTCACCGGCACACTGTAACTTATCTTGGATGTTATGTTAAACAGTATTGTCCTGGTGAGTTAAAACATTGCTCGTGAATAACATAACAACGCGCGTGGTTTACTTGGCTTTAAAAATTACAAGTTGTTTGACCAGAAACTATAATTCCGCCGAGAACTTCTGCGAAACAAGCATAGTCGATAAAAGCAGGCATGCCTTGTCACGAGGTTGAAATTCATGTTTTCCCTCCGCTTAAAGAAGAAACCCAAGACGATTTGTACAGTCTAACAAGGTAAGTCACTGAGGTTCCTAATACAGTTTCTGGTCTGTTCAGAAAAAAATCAACACAAATACATATTTTTTTGTTTTTGTTTTACACCCCTACAGGTAGGTGAAGAGATCTGACAGTGACGTGACACTCGGTTGATCTCTCCCAGGGTCATTTATTAAAGGAAATTACAGTATGTCATATAATCCTGGTGTATTTTTCCGTAAGTACAGATACAAATATACATACATCTGTGATCGATCCATGACAAGTGGATTTGATGGGTGGGAGGGAAACGGTGTTGAGCTAACTTTCTTTATTTCTCTAACGTTTCGGGCTACACAGAACTCCGAAGCGTTAGAGAAATATAGAAAGTTAGCTCAACACTGTGTTTCCCTCCCAGCAATCAAATCTACATTTACCTGGTCACTTAATTCCGACACAAAGTTGACCGCTAAATTGATTTGAAAGTTACGGAGACTTCACTATAAGTACTGCATATAGATACAATCTCTTCTCACAGTTTAGTGCAAAAAATAACTTGCAAATATTTGAGAATATGGATCCTGGTATAAAATGTATCGAGTGCAGCGGCAGACTGCGAGTACAAACGTTTTACGCAGCTAGGTGACCTTGGGATACTCCACGTTTGATTGAACGGCTGTCCCGAAATGAAATCACCGACCTTTATTTAGATCAGGAGGTGAGTAATGTAATCACTGAATCACAACACAGTGCTATTGACAGTCACGGGAAAAAAGACCCGTCAGTCCTCCGACCTGAGAATCATGAACCTGTGAATCCGAGGCACAGGTTCAGGGGTCGTGGTGATGTTGTGGGATACGTGATATTTGGTTCGCACTCAGGATGCGATGGAGAAAGGAAACTCACAATGTGCTCTCTGTATACATATTGTATTGGATGTACAGTGCAGCTTGGTGCTGGGAAGTGGCAGCGTGGTTACAAGCGTTGAGTAGAGAGAGCTGGTTGGTGAGGATGCTCAGAGGAGGACCAGCTTGTGGGTCGCCATGCTCGCCGGCTGGAGCGAGGGCCGCCAGGCAGGAGCGGAGGAGGTGTTACTTGATGACTGGCTGTAGCTAGAAGAAGAGGTAGGTCACCACGAGGTCAGGTCTTATATAGCAGAGATAGGTGTGGCTTAATAGTTGACCTCCGTCATGTAAGGCAGCGCTGGTTGACCTAGACCACGAGGCATAAACTGGGGAATTCGCGGGGTCGGCTACTCAGCGACAAACAGCGTTTGTAGGGGAGGAATCCACTACAACGTCACGGATTCGCGGTGATGTCACGGATTCGCAGGTTCAAGATTCTCAGGTCGGAGGACTGACAGGACTTTTTTCAGTGACTGTACCTCTTCATCGTATTGGCTCATTGAACGCACTTTCATACATTTCATACATATTTTCCATATTCATCGTGAGATGCTCGTACATATTTGATTTAAATAGTGAAAATATAAAGCTATATATTCTCACCAACACTACCGAACTACTGTATGCTTTTTCACAAGAGGATTGGTGAACTATAAATATAACCTGAGTATGGTGAAATTTCTCTTGTTTCTAAGAGTATTTTCCTCTTCTTTTTATATAGGCTATATATATATATATATATATATATATATATATATATATATATATATATATATATATATATATATATATATATATATATATATATATATATATGCAAGTAAATCACTGTAGGTGCGCGTGATCTAGGTATATGCTGATAGCCACCCACAAGGAAAGAAGAAAACACGAAGTTCCCAAGCGCTTTCGTGTAATTCACATGTTCAGGGGTGAGTACAGACTAAAGAGAAGTACTAAACAAGGTGTATATATACAGAGGAGGGTGAGACCAGGTCCACAATACCTGACCATTGTGGACCTGGTCTCACCCTCCTCTGTATATATACACCTTGTTTAGTACTTCTCTTTAGTCTGTACTCACCCCTGAACATGTGAATTACACGAAAGCGCTTAGGAACTTCGTGTTTTCCGGAGTGAGTGAAGATGGGACTTATACCCCAAATATTAACACCCAGAGGAGTGAGCCCCTGGGGGCCTCGGATACCCCCTCTCCTCATTTCAATCGTTTCATCCCATCGATGAGGTTGTAATAAAATAGTTCATCGCTTTTGGCCAATCACAAAGCTTGAAAAGACTTGAGCCGATTAAATCTCTGGGTACAATTATGTAACGTAATGTGGAGGACGCGCTGGTAAGATAACAATAAAATGATAAACGTAACGTATCACAGTATTGTTTATAGATAGTAAGACCTTTAACACTAGATAAATAACGTGCCCAGTACTTGCCAACGGTGTTTAACAGACGTGACCGACCGCCCCATGCGGCAACAGCTTAGCTGATCAGTTATCAGTGGCGAAGAGGGTGAAAGTAAAAGTACTGTACAGTATTTAAAAAGTTGCCAGTTAGTGATTTTTAGGTTGCCATGTCACTTTTGGAGGCACAAAGTGCCTTAGGGTATTAAAGTTCCTTACCCTCTACAGTTCTTGCTGTGTGTTATCAGCTGTGTTTATGACATTCATAAAATTATTTTATGACATTTAACGAACTGTACGCCTAAACTCTCGAAGCAGTTGATAAAATTTAAAGATAACCTCCCCCTAACCTGTTGGTATAGGGTAGTGGTATCCAAACATGCCTTTGCCCTTTGACCACACTTGGCAGTATTTTTCCCCTACCACTTATCAGCTTACCAGCCATTCGGGTAGTTGGTACGTTCTTTATTACATTATGAACTAATATTTTTCCAGTTAGTTTTTCTCCCGGATTCAAGATTTTTCCATATTTTTTGTGAATGGGCCACTTAACGGGAAAAAATAGTTGACATTACTGTATTTCTTTTTATTCGCTTATTTGTCTATTTATTAACATTTGATAGTGGCGGTACAGATTAGGCACAAATTTCAATAAGATAAAAAATTAAGCCGGAAAGTCCAACCTTCGTATACCACACTCGCACTAATTTTAACTTAAAACACCCACAAATATATTACATAATCATTTCTAAGAAAGGAAAATGCACTTTAGTTTAATTAGATCATTGGAAATTTTTCAAAATTTGGACTTTTTTTTTTTAATGGACATACTAAATGTAGAATTTTATACTAACAATACGCTAACAGTCAAGCAGTAAATAAGAAAAAAAAGACGAATTTCTGCTATCACGAGATTGTGGTTTTTATTGTTGGGAACCTTAGTAACAACATAATATTTAATTTATTGAAATAAATCGTGTGTTGAGGTCAACTAAACCTGATCTAACCTAACCAAAGGAGAACTAACCTAACCTAACCTAGTGCAATGCAACACAAAAATTGGCATAATTCGTTAACTGTTCATTTTCTTGACAAAAGAAATACATAGTTGAAATCAGCATAAAATTCTTGGAAATTTTTGGAAAAGACCGGTGTTATTTAATATGACAACAAAAACTATCCGACGCAGTCCAGAAACAGAATTCGACTTCAGTGTACTGTAGCGTACTGTATGTGGCCAGTTGTCAATTCTCTTTAGTTGTCTATTATCTCTGTATGGGCACACAAACGTACGTACATGTAGATATCTCCACTCAGGAATGAGGTAGGATAGAAACTCACAATGCGCTTTCTGTATATATATTATTGTACAGCGCAGTGCTTAGGAGTGACTAGGTAAGGAGAAACTTGCTCAGAGGTCCTGTAGGGCGAGGAGGTTTCTGAGGAAGCTGAGTGGTGAGGAGCTGTGAGAGATGTTGCTGGTCCAGTAGCCGAGTGTAGAATGGTCTCCCTGTCCAGGCATGGCCGTATTTATACAATTTACGAGGATCAGGATTTGGGATGCTGTAGAGCGAGAGCCAATCACAGAGGAGAATGCCAGACACACCGACACTATCACCTGTCTTGCGCCTTCCAACGAGTTCTCCTCCCTGCTCGACGAATTCAAGGAGCTTTTCTCACCCCGAGTCTCTCTACCCCCACCACCTACATCGGGAATTTTCCACCACATCGAAATCAAAGGACCACCAGTCTTTTCACGCCCAAGCCGCCTGCGCCCTGAGCTCCTGAACACAGCCAAAGTAGAATTCAACAAACTACTGCAAGACGGCATCATTCGCCCTTCAAGGAGTCCCTGGGCATTGCCTCTTCACATGGTTCCTAAACAAACACCCGGCGAGTGGAGGGTGTGTGGCGACTACAGAGCCCTGAATCTTGTCACCAAACCTGACAGGTACCCTATTCCGCATGTCCAGGACTTTCACCACAAACTTCATGGCAAGACTATCTTCTCGAAGATCGACTTGGAGCGTGCCTTCCACCAGATCCCAGTAGCACCTGCAGATACCCAGAAGACAGCCATCACCACTCCGTTTGGACTCTTCGAGTACACTTTCATGAGTTTTGGCTTACGCAATGCAGCACAGACTTTCCAGAGGTACATGGACCATATGCTTCACGACCTTGATTTTGAAACCGTCTACATTGACGACATCCTCGTCGCATCTTCGACGCCTGCCGAGCACCGCCACCACCTACAACTCCTTCTCCAATGCCTGCAGAACAACAACATGAAAGTTCATCCTGCTAAGTGCGTCTTTGGAACCTCGGCCATCGATTTCCTCGGTCACAGAGTCTCGCCCAGTGGCATACAACCCCTACCACAGAAGATAACTGCGATTAGAGAGTTCCCCAAACCTGAAACGGCGAAGAAACTCCGAGAATTCCTGGGTTTAGTCAACTACTACCACCGCTTCATTGACAAAGCTGCCACCGTCCTAGCCCCCCTACACGACCTTCTCAAGGGACGCCCAAAGAAGTCTCACAAGCCTCTCGTGTGGACTCAAGAGGCTGCTACGGCATTCACCACTATCAAAGAGCACATTACACGCCTCACCCTCCTGGCCCACCCCGCACCTAACGCCCGGACCACTCTCACAACAGACGCTTCTTCTACTGCAGTGGGCGCTGTCCTACAGCAGGAGATCAACGGAATTCTCATGCCCGTTGCTTTCTTCTCACAACGGCTTCAACCACCACAACTCAAGTACAGCGCCTTTAATCGAGAACTCCTGGCCATATACCTGGCTGTCAAACATTTCCAGCACTTCCTCGAGGCCCGTCAGTTCACCATCTTCACTGATCACAAGCCCCTCGTCCACGCTTTCGTTTCAGCTTCCCAGTCACATACACCTCGTGTCCTGCGCCACTTGGCTTACATCTCGGAGTTCTCCAGCAACGTCCAACACATTAAAGGCAGCCACAACGAGATCGCCGACGCCCTCTCTCGTTGTATATCCAACATTCTTCCCTCATCTCCACACATTGATTATGGGCAGCTAGCTGCGGCTCAAGAGAAAGACGAAGACCTGGCAGCATACAAGACATCCCCCTCAGGCCTCACACTCCAAGAACTCCCTGTTCCTGGCACAAAGATAAAATTGTGGTGCGACGTATCCTGTGGGTAGCCTAGACCGTTCGTGCCTCACGTCCACCGCCGCGCTGTTTTCGACCGCATCCATGGTCTCAGCCACCCGGGTGTGCGGGCTTCCCAGCGCCTCCTCACGCAACGTGTCGTCTGGCCCGGCATCAAGTCTGATACTAAGAAATGGGCTGCCCAGTGCCTGGCCTGCCAGTCCTCCAAAATACATCGTCACATACGGACCCCCTTACAAACCTTCCCTATTCCCAAAGGACGTTTTCAAGTAGTACACCTCGACATCGTGGGACCTCTTCCATCATCCTACATCTTCACCTGCATCGACCGTTTCACCAGGTGGACAGAAGCAATTCCCATGCCCAATGCTACAGCAGAGACTACTGTCCACGCCTTCATGTCCGGTTGGGTTTCCCGTTTTGGCCCCCCCGCAACCGTAATCACTAACCGAGGAGTCCAGTTTGAGTTACAACTCTGGCAGCACCTCCTACAGTTCCTCGGCACGTCTAGACAACGCACTACAGCATACCACCCTCAAGCCAACGGCATGGTAGAGCGTTTTCACCGGCAGCTGAAGGACGCACTCAAGGCACAGCACGACCCTTACAGCTGGACTGATGCGCTTCCCTTAGTGCTCCTCGGCATCCGTGTGTCACACAAGGAGGATATGGACTGTAGCCCAGCAGATCTTACACTAGGCGAGCCCCTTCGCCTACCCGGGGATTTCTCACTCCTTCCTGACCCCCACCAAACCACTCCTGCCGTTCGTCACGACTTACTCCAAAGGCTACGACAAGCAGTATCTGCATTCAGAGCTACTGCTCCACGCCAGCCTCCTCGGCGCCCTGAACACATCCCTCCTGCACTACTCACAGCCGAGTATGTTTTCGTCAAGCATGATGCTCACCGCAACCCATTACAACGCCCCTACGATGGACCCTTCCAGGTGGTTACCCGTTCAGCAAAGTTCCTGACGATTATCCGGAATGGCAGGCATCACACCTTCAGCATAGACCGAGTCAAACCGGCCACCTTACCCGTCGGGCCCCCAGCCCAGCAGCACCACCAACAAACTACGCCTGCACCAGTCTACCCGCAGTTACCACCGGCAGCAACACCACGCCCACGACATTTCTGGGCACCCTCTTTTCACCCTCAGGTACCCCCTGTTCCTGTCCTGAACCCTGCTGCTGTCATAGAACCTGCTCCTGCCATAGACCCTCCTCCTATCATAGAACCTGCTCCTATCATAGACCCTCCTCCTGTCACAGAACCTGCACCTATCATAGAACCTGCACCTATCATAGACCCTCCTCCTGTCATAGAACCTGCTCCTGTCATAGACCCCCCTCCTGTCATAGAACCTGCTCCTGCTATGGACCCTCCTCCTGACACAGCCCCTGCAGCAACAGGAGCACAACAACCATTGCTTGTACAACCTCCTCTTATCCCAAACCCTCTTTCTCCCCCTAATTCTCCCACAGGTGTTGTGTCACTAGACGGAGTTGTTACACGTAGCGGCCGAGTCGTACGTACACCTGCCCGGTATGTGTTATGTGTGGGACACAACCCGGACAACATCCAGCCTCCCGCCGCGCCGGGAGGGGATGGGGAGTATTGTAGTGGCTCCTCTCCCCGACAACTTCCAACTGATGACTGAGCTCCCGCACGCCTACCAGCCAATCAGCGTACAGCCAGCGACGCTGGTAGACCTACTCCACAGTGCGGACGCACACGTAGCAACGCCAGGATCAGAGTGCCGGGTACTTCTGGCATTCTCCTCTGTGATTGGCTCTCGCTCTACACGCATCCCAAATCCTGATCCTCGTAAATTGTATAAATACGGCCATGCCTGGCCAGGGAGACCATTCTACACTCGGCTACTGGACCAGCAACATCTCTCACAGCTCCTCACCACTCAGCTTCCTCAGAAACCTCCTCGCCCTACAGGACCTCTGAGTAAGTTTCTCCTTACCTAGTCACTCCTAAGCACTGCGCTGTACAATAATATATATACAGAAAGCGCATTGTGAGTTTCCTTTCTCCATCCCATCCTGAGTGTGAAACAAACAATCCTCATCCCCACAGTACAGTATACGGTATCAAACGTCCTTTCTCTCCCAAACATTATCTTTTTTATCCGTCCCCTTCACATTAACCTTAATACAGTTACCAGGAAGGACAGGTTAGACTAGAGCCTCTGAGTCTAGAGGTTACACTAAAATGACCACTGGACAACTCCCAACAGGTGACCTTTCCCAGGTAGGCAGATTAGCTGGAGAATACTGAGCTTAGCTAGTAGGTTAACCACAACTCGGGGAATGCTAGCTTGGTTTGTAAACGTGGGATCTTTTCTGGGACTGTTTTTGAATATACAGTACTTGATACCATGTTACTATTTCAAGCTGTCAAAAATTAGAAAAATGACAAATATCCTGTAAATGGTCTGAGCTTCATTTATGATCAATCTAGTTGTGGTCCATCAGTGCTGTTGTGAGTGGGTCAGATCATATCTCAGTGGTGATATGCTCAGTCAGGGGCAAAGTAAAAAGTGGCATTATTTTTTTGGAAGTACCCTGTACAGTAAGAGTTTTTTTTAATGTATTCTGTATACAGTATACAGCAGGGTTGCCATACGTCCATATTTTCCCGGACATGTCCGTCATTTAGGTCTTGAAATCTTCATCCGGAAGGAATTTTTAAAAAACTTCAAAAGTCCGGAATTTCAGCTTCCATCATTTTCTCCACGGAAAAACTATGAAACTGTAATGACGGGAGAGAGAGAGAGGGAAGGTGGAAACCGTAGAGATCTCGTTCAGTTTTTGTCAGCTGATAAGTCACTTGTACGCCTGTACGGTGTTGTCAACTTAGCTGTCAAATATTTGATTGATAAGGGGGTAGAAGTTGATGAAGTGTTTTGACCAAGTTAGTAACCTGAAGCAGTTTGTGGAAAATTACAAGTGATGAAGAATTTAGTAATCTGCCAACACATAAAAAGTGGACCAGATACTTTGAAAATCAAAGAACATTGAATGTCACTCAGAATTGCTAAGAATTGCACAATTCTTCTTTGCTATATCATCTCGCAATGCAAATGTAGAAAGAGTTTTTTCACTGATGCAAAGTCAATGGACAAAAGAAAGGAATAAACTGAGTGTTGAAACAATGAAAGGCATTCTGACTGTACAGTACAACTTCCGAGAAACACCTTGCAGTGACTTCTATACCTTGCTAAAGAGCAATCAGCCAATACTGAAAAAGATCCGATCTACAGAAAAGTATGCATGGGCACATCAAGTCACACACACAGTGGGGGAAGAAGACTGCAGCTAAGGGAATGAAGATGTTCAGCCTTAAGCAAAGATAATTTTTTTTTTTTTTAAGATTTCTCTACCATGTATGTTGTATATTAGCCTGTGTGTGCCGGGGGGGGGGGGTGGTGATGTCTTCGGGAGCGTCCTCTTTTTTTTAATGTTCAGATATGGCAACCCTAGTATACAGGTACTGTAATAGATTGTTGAATGAGGTAATCTGATAATGATGAGAACATAAATATGCCTGTACAAAATTTTAGTGTAATTTTTAGTTGACCTGAAGTGATTGCAGTGGATAAAATGGGTGCTATAATGAAATTAAATGGCAAGTCTTTGCTGAGTCAAATGTCCAGAACATTATTTTTTTCTCTCAGACTTATTCCATTCTTATGACAGCTTTATGTCAAAGATGAGATTGGCTTAGCTTCTTTACAATGTGTTTGATTTGTGTTTCAGGTTCCCAGACGATGCAGTGCGTCTACGAAATCCCCACATCCAAGAGATGGAACAAGATATACTGTACCACCTGGCACTAGGCTCTGGGTCCCACGACCTGGTAGAAATGTTCAGTGATGTGCGATTTGTCTGCATGGGAGGAACACCTAAGCGCATGGAGGGTTTTGCTAACTACATCATGGATGAGATTGGACACAAGCTACCAGCAGGAACCACCCTCTTGGATATTTCCTACCATTCATACCGATACTCCATGTATAAGGTGAATTTAATGTACAGTACAATATTATTCTATGGTTGTCCTTCGTGTTCAAGAACAGCAGGTCCTAAGGCCACATAGGCAGGAATTTGCTTAAGGTGTAGAAAATGTCACCAACACAAAAGTTGCACCCTGAATTATCGAGGTAAGTGATAGAGTATTGAGGTGTAACCCAACGGATAAAAAGGACACTTGCCATTTGCAGAGTAAATTGATTTCAATGAAGTTTTAAATTTAAATTTGATGAGGCTTCTTTTAGATTATTTCACTAATACTGATTCATTTGATCCATAGTACAGTACAGTACAGTACACATATTCCATCCACCCTTTCTAACACCCTTCTTCATTTCCAAACTTCTACAACAACATGCTCTCATCCTACATGTATCATTAGAAAATTTCCTTCCCATTGTACCATATACCTGTACAGTCATACATTTCCTTCCCATTCCCATTGTACCATATGAAGTAATACATTTCCTTTATACTGTATCTTAATTTCCATGTAGTGCAGTATATTCAGTGGCATATTCCCATTTCTCTTATCCAACAGTGTGTTCCCTTCCTACGCTAAATTTTACTTTACTTTATCCGTTTGCCACTGATTGGCTCATTAACCGCTTGGGTGATCAGTTACGTCTCTGTTATGCACTGTTGGCAAGTACTGGGCATGCACTGGTTCCAGTATGTATCTGTACCTGTACCAGTGTGGTATTGAATGGGTTTACACTCAGTGCCAACACAATGCTATCTGACAGATTATTCCAAGAGTTCACAGCTCTCACTCAAAAAAAGTTTGCCCCGGCAATTTTTTAACTTGTGACTTCTTCAACATTAAGCCTCTTGTGAGACAGCTCCAGATACAGACATTCGACTGAGTAATGTCCTCTAAATCACCCCTTGCCCGCCAATATGGTAAGCGAGGCAATTGCAAGTGTTCTAATCTCTCTGGGTAGCTGAGGTGCCATAGTCTCTAGCATATCTTGAGGACCAGACAAGGTGACAATACAGTATTCCAAAAAGGGAAGCACCTCACTTTTGAAGAGAGTCACAAGGGAAGGACCACCAAGGTATCTGAACGACCTTCTTATAAAGCCCACTAGCTTAGTTGCTTGATTCACCTTCTTCCTACAATGGCCCAAAAACTTCTGTTCATTGACAACATACATTACCGTACACACCACAATGCTCACTCTATATAGCATTCTGTATACGTACATTTTCATTAGAAATAGCATCATTTCGTTGGTGCTACATTGGTAACATATGTATTTTTCACCAATGTATCAAGGGTTCAAATCTTGTTTGGCCCAGACACACATGAAAAGGGTGCTATCCAGTGTGACCCTACCAAACATCACAGATTTCCTGGAGTCCATTCAGTACACATTCACACATTATTTTTCTCTTTTTGTGTTGGTCTTCTTTACATTACAAGATCCTTACATGGTGTGGCATAACCTTGTGAACTATTTCTAGGTTGGACCAGTGCTGTGCTTCTCACATGGGATGGGAATTCCCTCTGTGGGGATTCTTCTTCATGAAGTGATCAAACTTATGTACCACGCAAAGTGTAAGAACCCAATCTTCTTCCGACTTGGTACCTGTGGTGGTATTGGCATTGAGGGTGGCAACTTGGTGATTACAGAGAGTGCTGTGGATGGCATGATGCAGCCTTACCTGGAGTTGGTGAGTCACTTGGAAGTGGTTGTTTAAAAATAAGACTGTATAAGAATAAAGGAAGCTGCTGTTAGGATATTAACCCATGCAAGGCAGCTCCCATTTATATTTATCACTCATTCATCGATCATTTGTTCATCCACTTTTGGGACTTCGTAATGTAACTGTATTAATCAAATTATTATGTAACTTTTTACATCCATCTGCAACTCTTTTTTGTTTTTTCTGAACCAATGCTCACCAACAGTATTTTTCCTAAATACTGTACAGTACAAATTTCTCTAATTTATATACATTGTTTGGAATTCTGTCTTTACTCTTTTTTGCCAATATTTAGCTTACTAGCCAATAGGTTGGTCGCTGAATTCTCTGTTGCATACTTTTGGCTTTGAATAGTTTAAATACCTTAGGTACCCTATATTGCCTTTATTTAACCCCCATCTTTCATATTGATCAGAAGAATACATATTCAGTTTTCTTAATCTCTCTTCACATGGATGGTTCCTAATGCTTAGTGTTAACTTCATCATCCATTTTTGTATATTTTAAAGAGAATTTATATCTATGCTGAGGGGTGCAGTCAATAAGTGGATGAAACACTCCTATCCTGTCTTAAGGGTTGCCGGATCAATTCTAGGACACTCCCAAGTCCATTAATTAACACCGATACCTAACTTTACAGTTGGGAAAGTGGAGGCAGTTGAATGTTGTGCCAGCCACACTACTCTTTGCATACCAAAGGCATCAGCCACATGGGCCTGTCACAAAATAGACAGGTTAAAGTAGGATATTTGTGACCCAGCTGGGGGTTGATGACCTGTACCTGGTTGGGCTCTGCCTCATAAAAAAAATATGGTTATACAGTACTTTTGTGCTAATACTGGCTCACACTAGATATATCTTACATTGCCTACTCAGAGAAAATTCAAACTTGGGACCAAAGGACTGGTGGCCTAGTACAGTTTCCTCTCCATCTCTCATCAGTCCATCTTTCTTTTTTTTCTCTTAATGATAACTTTCATAGCTTTTGGCAAAATGTCATCATTAGTTTTAATGTAAATATAGCATTCTACAAAATAAAGGATAGATTTGATTTTTATATTAAAAATGATTACTGTAGGTGTTTTAAATAGGCCACTCAGTTTAACAAACGTGGGCATATAATGTATCAGTCAAAGAAGTGTTTTATTGTTTTCCTTTTATTCTAATACAGGTTGTGTATCCCTTATCCGAAATTCCCAAGTCAGAAATGCTCTGAAATCCGAAAGTCTATTTCATTATATTTATGGTAGATAATACACTGAATATGGCATATATCATAATTTTTACTAGAGTAAGTATGTGTGTGTGTAATGAATAAAGGTAAGACACAGGCTGCTTAGTGCCTCAGATTCAGGCGTCTTGGTGATGCCAAACAGACGGTATTGATTGCTTACGTCTTATCATATATTTTATACCCAAAATGATTCAATTATATTTCATAAAACTACCTGCAGAATATATGTATCCTTATACTGTAAATGAAATATAAATTAATTTTGTGCATAGACTTGTGCCCCATCCTTGCTGGGTGAGCTACCGCATTATACAGGATATAGGTACGGCTATTCCAAAATCCGAAAATATCCCAAATCCGAAACCCTTAAGGCCCCAAGCATTTCGGATAAAGGATACCCCGACCTGTACTATATTATATTTTAGTGCATCAAAAGATGACACTTTACAAAACAAGATACTGTAGTGACTACAGTATCTTATTTTATACATTATTTTTTGTGAAGAATTTCATCTTTATTTGCCAATTTTCAACTCACACAGCCTGTGCTGGGAAAGATGCAGCGTCGACCAGCTATCCTGGATAAGCAGTTAGCTAATGACCTAAAAAATCTGCATTGTGATACAGATCCTTTCTCTGTGACTGTTGGAAAGACAATGTGCACATATGACTTCTACGAAGGTCAGTTGCTTGTTCCTTCATAAGCTATGTTGTTGTACGTTCCTAGTTTACTGTATAGTCTTATGTAATAGACAAACAATTGTTGGTTATGAAGGGTATTGTATTTGACATGGTGCATTGGTATAACCTTATGTACCACATTTGAAGGATATTACACCAACAACTACAGAAATACTGTACAATACTGTATATTGCATCTATCTTCCTTGAGGTGTGAGCTCTTGATTTCATAGAATATATGTTAAAAGCCAAGAGTAAAGGCCTTAAATATGGGGAAGAATTAATGTACTGTACTATATCTCTTGATCAATTTTCAAATACTGTAGTATACTATACAATATAACCAGTGCTGTGTGTTCCTGAGAAGCAAGGTAAGAATTGCTTACCCAATAAAAATTCTAATCTTCAAAATTAGAACAGCTACAGTTTAGTTAACGTTGTACAAAAACAGGAGAGTCGAACAAGAGGACTGTGAGCAGTATATAATTAATATTTAAAGAATATACAGATATGAGGTTATGCGAACTATAAGCACCACTCCGGCCAAAAATCATTTTTCTTATCCCCTAGTCTTCCCATACCTATTGCCTCTCTATTCCAAAGTAATGTAGTTTGTAGGGTCGAAAATTCCATTTCTGTAAAGGGATTGTCAGCTGTAAGTTCGGGTTGCTGGCGTACTGTGTGCTGTCGCTCCTGCTGAGACGCTCCAGTAGTAGCATGCAGTGTATAATGTCTAGGGAACCACGTTGCTGAGTGATTCTGTGTGTGTGTAAATTATTTTGCATGCAATAGTCTTTATTTCCATCATGTAGATCAATTTTGTGCCAGAAAATACTGAGTTTTGATTAATTATGATGTACATGAGTATCATATATCAAAATATTCAAATTACATCAAAATCTAATTACCTCTAAATTGCTAAAGATATGAATCATTTTCATGATTACTGCTAATCATGACAAAATTATTGCAACATAATCCTGAGTATGTAAGCTTCAATTTATTACAAGAATGATTGTGCTATCACAATTAGTTCGAGAGATATAGTGAGTTCCATTTTCCAAAAGTTTAACCATGTTTTCCATAGGTCAAGGAAGATTAGATGGTGCTTTCTGTGACTACAAGGAAGAGGATAAGTTGGAATTCCTGCAGAAAATTCATGATGCTAATGTTGTTAATATGGAAATGGAATCTCTGTGCTTTGCTGCCTTGTGCCAACATGCAGGTATCAAGGCTGCTGTTATCTGTGTTACACTTCTCAATCGCCTCCATGGAGATCAGGTAATGTCTTGCAATTGTTATTTAAATTGAAGATCATGTACAAAAATTTTGTTATACTGTACTGTACAGTACAGTATACATTTTTGTTATATGTTAGTTGTCATACATTTAATACAAGTTACCTTGATGCAAAATTGATAATTGTTGAATAATGTACAATGATCTACATCAGTGCTACTCAAAGTGTGGTCCGCGGACCGGTGCCGGTCCGTGAGCCATCGTCTGCCGGTACGCGGAGAGTTTTCAGAAAAGAAAGAAACGATAGTCACGTTCCACACCACGTGACACTGCCGGGACATCTGACTCGGTCTTTTTTTTTTTACATTTTCATTGTAGTTTTTATATTTATTATGGCTATATTTTTCATTTACTCACTCATGTTAAAAGTCATTGCTATGCAACTAACGAATGCGATATAATGAACAGCAAAACAGCGAACTGAAATACGTATAACAACACCTTCATGATGATGTGGCGTTTGACTCTGTGGGAACCACACCTGGGGATATCAATAGGGCGCATCACCTTGTGTTGCCAGAATTGCCACGTTTCTCGGCCACCAGTTACGCCATATCCACCCAAAACATAAATCTTTTTATTTTAAGTATGGTAGTTATTTAATTTCGGATAAAATAAATGTATGCATCCCATTAAAAGAAATGGCCGATTTTTTACTATGCGTGCCAGCCGTGAAGGGTGTCACACAGCTGGCAACCCTGCTATTCCACACGTGTGGATCAGCAGTCTGTGATGTCAGGTCACAGGTCAGTGGTTAGTTACCATCAAGAAGTGGAACAGAGAGCATCATACGGGTATCTGCGTGTTTGTCATTTGGGACCCCATCCCAACCCACTTTTATATTCATTATATTTTTCCTGTATAAAATAATATTACTACGAATGTTCAAATAATATTTTCTCTGATCGTAAACAATTAATTGTATGGCACAAATATGGTACTGGTCCCTGGCACACTGGGAAGACTTGTTACGTCAATGATGATTGGCCTTAGAATGAATAAGACATCATGTCTTCATGTTTAGTACAGATAGTCTCAAAATGCCCCTGAAATAGGACATATCTCAAAAGATTTTCCTGGGGGGGGGGGGCCTATAGGCTCCGGGATTGGCTCGCTTTGCTCGCCGGTCCGTGGCACATTGAAAAAAAACCATGCCGGTCCGCCACATCAGATAGTTTGAGAAGCGCTGATCTACATGATATATATACAGAGCTGTAAAGTAACTAAATAAATTTACTTGGGTACTGTACTCAAGTAAAATTTTTGGGTATTTACTTTTTAAAAAGTACTAAAATATTTTAGTACTTTTACTTAAGTATGGTTTTCGAATACTTTTACTCAAATAGAATTGAAAAAAAAAATCATAACTCCTTACATGCAAACTAATAATATATTAATTAATTAATTAATTATTAACCACAGTAAAATAGTTGTGTGGGTGGAGCCATGAAGGGTATGGTGTGGGTGTGGGGAGACATCATGTGGTCACATACCTAGAGGTCTCGTGAGATGAGGTGATGTCAGGTCATGTGGCAGTGGCCAAGACAACGGACTTTCCCTTTGATCTTCTTGTGTCCATTATCACCTTGACCGCGCACCTCACTTGGCCTATCCTCTTATCCCCCTCTCCCCCATCGAATCCCCTCTCTTCTCCCCCACCACCTTTCCTTCAGGGGCTTGGTCTTCCCATTAGACATCAGTTGCTCTTTGCATATACTTGAACCTAAAATGAATTTCAAAGAGGCTGCGATTCTAAATTGTTTTATATAATTCCATCTTAGATATAAAGCCTGTATCTATACATATGTGGGAAACTGAGTGTATTTAAAATTCAACTTCAATAACTAAGTACCACTGCCCCCAACCCAGAGGGACAGTTCATGGTGAGTCTTACTATGGAGGCAACATTCATCCACAACTTTCTGCAACTGAAGGAACTTGGTAGCAACTTGGCATGCCCATGGGATGGAATGGGCTACTAGGGTCTTTCCTGACCTTATGTGACTTATCTCTCAAGCTTAACACCCCACTACCTGCATCTGCTGCTTGTGAGCATCTGTTTTGTCATGCTGGGCATATTATTTAATTGATTTATTACACCCCTGGGGGCGACAACCCTAGAGGAATTCCTCCTCCCACCCAGGAGGAGGTGAGCTCAATGTAAACAGTGTCATCTCTGACCACACCCCACAAAACACAAGGGATTCAGTAAATGAGGCAGCTGCAGAGAATGGAGGAGGCCGGAGTCATTACCAAGACCAGAGGCATTACCGAGTTCAATTTCCGGCTTGAAAGTCATGTACTGTACTGTAATACAGTACTAACATGTTCCTTGACAAGAGAGCGGAGTTTGAAACACTACTGAACATACATCAACCCAATAAAGTAGGTGTTGTACAAAAACAGGAGAGATCAAACTGGAGGAATGTGAGTTCAAAATACAGTAAATGAATATGACTCATTTATGAACCTTTCTCAAGAAGCTTGCAAGAGAGGTGTGGTTATCTGTGCTAGACAAGACCTTAGAGCCAGCCAGGTGAGGGTGTGGGAAGAGGATGTTTTTGAAGAATCAAAGTAGTGTAAAATTAAACTACAGGGAATAAACTTACAGTATTTATTGTCACATGTACCTACAGATCCCCAAACTATAGCATATTAAACCCAAGGAACTTAAGAACTTTAATTGACAATGTAACAGTGCTAAACCCTAGCCACCTCCTTGTCATGGGGGACTTTAACTATGCTGACATTGACTGGAGAAATGAATCCAAGCCAAACGACCTTAACAATCCTACCACTCTTTTTATAGAAACTCTGAGAGACAATTTTCTTTTCCAACGTGTTAAAGATCCGATTCACTCCAGGGGGGAGCAAACACCCAAACTGCTGGACCTCATCATAACTAACGAGGAGGCCAAGCTGGAACACCTAGCCCCAGTTGGCACCAGTCGCCACATAACATTGTCCCTTAGATTTAACTGTTACTTGGTTCATGACAAAAACAGGTCAATGTTCAAATATTACAAAGGAAATTACAACCTGATGAAGGAGGAGATACGGAGTAAGGTTACAGTGTAAATGATACCAGATATTTAATATTACAGGTTGACAATCCCTTATCCGAAATCCTTGGGACCAGATGCATTTCGGTTTTTGGAATTTTTCGGTTTTCAGAATGGTTAGTTTTTTTTTTGTTTTTTTTTACAGGGATCAGCCCACCCGGGCACAGGTCACTGACCCACATTGGGGCCTGGGGACTAAAATATAATAATAATAATAATAATAATAATAATAATAATAATAATAATAATAATAATAATAATAATAATAATAATAATTATAATAATATTAATAATAATTCATAGGTCTAGGTCGTGTTTCTCACTTTTGATCTTTTTTCATTCTTGTATTTCTTTATTATTATAATTATTATTATTATTATTATTATTTTAGTATTACAGTATTATTGTTATTATTATTATTGTTATCATTCTTATTTTATTTTTGTGTATTTTTTATTAAAAATTTTATTAACTATGAATAATTATTATTATTACTGTACAGTTAACCCTCACTTTACGCGGTTAATGTAACCCGGAGGGTCCCGCGTAAAGTGAGGAACGCGTAAAGTGAATAACATAACATATGGGATTAATTGAAATGGAGTCCGGGCCGATCCCCAAACTCCACTTTTTGACGACACACAACTATGTTGTAGTAAAAATTTTATCTTAACTTTATGATGGTATGAAAAAACAAGTAATATAGAAGAGGTTAGGTTAGGAAAGATAAAGGTTAACATAGGAAAAATAAAGGTAAGGTTAGAAAACTAAAAATTAGGTGTAACACTTACGGTAGTAGAAGAGATGGGTCGGCATACGGGGATGGAGGCTGGTTCCGAGGCAGAGGGCAGATTACTGGCCCTCAGGTGAATCACCATTACTAGGTGAATCACCATCACTGTCACTTACAGTTGTCAGGGCTTCCCTGACAAATCCCTCAAAGTCACCTTCACTGTCACTATCACTGGCTTGGGCTGGCTGTGGTGGGTTGCGGGCGAAGAAATCTGTTATGCTTTGCTGACGGCTGGCGTTGATGTTGTCGTGATACACCTTGATGTACGGCTCCATAGCCTGCACCAGCCGGGTATGGAAGACTTCATAGCGGTCATCGTCATTGTCGCGGGAAAGGAAGGACTTCATCTTCTCTGCACACTCCATGGCACCCTTAATATCACTATGACTTAAATTGTGTTCTTCGGAGACTGACGCACCTTCTTCCTCCTCTTCACTGACGTGTTCTTCTTCCAACATCTCGTCGGCAGTCACTTCAGGATCTCTGATCACCTCCAGGATGTCGTCGTTGGTGGTCTCGGAGAAGCCTGGAACTGTAACAGTCTGCGCAGCTTCTCTGGCAAGGTCCACTGCTACTGCAACATTCTGAACCTCACCAGTCACAGATTGACTCCTCCTCTCACCTGGTATTCCATGCAACACATGTCTCCATGCGTGACGAATTGTAGCAATAGACAGCTGATCCCATGACTCCACCAAGAAGTCCACAGCTTTCTTGATGTTAAATACTCTCCAGAATTGTTTGAAGAGTATTTTTTGCTGTTCCAACTGTTGATCCTCATCTTCTTCGCTCTTGCTATCGGTGGTGGTGTCACTCAGGTTACGCAACTCTTCCCTGGTGTTGGTGTAGTCGTTCAGGAGCTGGAATTTTTTTGTTGAGAATGCAGCTTTCACATTGCAAATCAACTCCTGGTCCATGGGCTGGATTAAAGACGTAGTGTTGGGAGGAAGGAAGACCACTTTTACGTTGGGGTGACGATCTAACAGTAGGGGCGAGTGTCCTGGTGCGTTGTCCAGCAGCAACAAAATATTAAATGGGACATTCTGTCGCTCACAGAATTTCTTTACATCGGGAACAAAACAGTCATCAAACCAGGAGAGGGACAGTGTAGAGAACATCCATGCCTTACGTGCGGTCAGCCAGTGGACATTTAGCTTGGTCATGTCCATGCTCTTGTAGGCGTGCGGCTTGCGGGCTGTGTGGATCACCAATAACTTGAGCTTACAGGTACCGGAGGCATTGGTGGTAAACAGGACGGTGATGCGTTCCTTCTGCATTTTCCGGCCCCGAATCCTGCTGGCATTCTTCACAACGAAGGACTTGGAAGGTAGCTTTTTCCAGAAAAGACCAGATTCGTCCATGTTAAACACCTGGTCGTCACTGTACTGTCCTTCCTCCATAATCTCACGTAAAAACGGAGGAAATTCCCGAGCCGCAGCACGATCAGCACTCGCTTCTTCACCACCAATGTTTATATTGGTGATCTTGTTCCGGATCTTAAACCTCTGTAACCACCCAGAGGAAGCATTAAAGGGTTTGGGCTCTGAAGTTCCCATCTTTCGTGCCACTGCCATGTACAGTTCACGTGCGTAGTCCTTAACAGAGCGCGTGTCGACCGCCATGTTCCGTCGCGCCTGACGCACCAAGTACCTCACAAGTAATTTTTCTGTCTTGAGAAGCACCTGGTTGTGAAAATACTTGATCATAGAAGCACCTGTAGACTTTGTGATCTTCATGTGCTCCTTTATCTTGGCTGAATCCTTCTTTATAGTCCGGATCGTAGATTCGTTCACGCCATGCTGGCGCGCCAAATCAACCTGCCTTGTTCCTTTCTCCAACTCTTGGATGATGCTATACTTCACCTCGTAGCTTAAGGAACGTCGTGTCTTCTTTGGTTTAGTGCCGCTGGGTCCAGGTAAGGAAAGGTTTCTCTCTGGGGGTGGTGGTCCGGCGGAAGCCATTTTACCGAACAATGGATGCGCGTTTACACGGAGTGGCCTTGAGGGATGAAACTGCCGCGGCTAGGTCAAGCGTCGTCTTTCCTCCCTCCCTCCCTCCCCCGGGTGGACACGTCATAATACTTTAAGCCAATTACAGCTAGCAGCAGAGGGGGGTAGGGATGCATGGCCAATCACAGGTCTGATACGTCATATGACGTCAGTGATAACCCAACAAAGACACACACTGCGCAACCTTACCGCGCCGCTTGCCCAAGCGGAGGGAGGAGGAGGGAGAGGCAGGCAGGCAGGCGGGCGGGTGGCGGGTGGGGCGAATCTAAAAATAGCGTCGCGCCGGACACTCTCCGCGTAATGGGGTTCACGTACGGCGTAATGTGAGCACGTGAGGTTCTGGCAAGGCACCGCGTTAACGTGGAAACGCGGAATGCGGGACCGCGTAAAGTGAGGGTTAACTGTATAATCACTATTATTATAATTATTACTACTATTACATTTTCGCCCCTCAGGCCCCGATGTGGGTCAGTGACCTGTGCCCGGGTGGGCTAAAAAAAAAAAAAAAAATGCACAAAAAACTTTCGGTTTTCAGAGCTTTTCGGTTTTTGGAATTTCGGATAAAGGGTTGTCAACCTGTATATTATAAAATTTATTTCATCACTAACTTGTGTGTTCTTATTTCTTAAATCTTATAATCACTTTAATTTTAGGTTTTATTCATGTCCATACTTTATACACAGGTGTCCACACCAAAGGAGACTCTCAACAAGTGGCAGGAATACCCTCAAATGTTAGTTGCTCGCTACATAAAGAAGCAAATTGGACTGCCTTTCGACATTCCCCAGCGAGAACACCCACAGGTAGTCAAAAATCCTAAACAAGCCCACATGGTTAGGCAGGAATCTGCTTGTTTTGAGTGAGAAACCTTATGTTTCAAGGAAGTGCAAAGGAAGCAAGGTTCTGCAGTACAGTACATATACTGTACTACTGTACTGTATTTGGTATTATTTTGTCTGTTTATTAGCAGACATTTTATTAATGTACGGCTAAAAGTTTCTGAATCCTATTTTATACACAGCAGCGCCCATATAATTTAAGTCAACAGCAATATATATATATATATATATATATATATATATATATATATATATATATATATATATATATATATATATATATATATATATATATATATATATATATATATATATATATATATATATATATATATATATATATATATATATATATATATATATATATATATATATATATATATATATATATATATATATATATATATATATATATATATATATATATATATATTGTATATATACTTGAATGGTAAAACTTAAAGTGAAGTCTGTCTTAACTTTCAGTTTCCAGCATAACATTTTACCATGGGCATATATACAACATACAATACGTACAGTAATTATGGTCAGTTTAGAGACACTGTACCTGTAGTTGTGTAGGAGGCACCATATATAGATTAATGAATGGTTGATTGAATGTAAACACGGAACAAGAGATACTGGTGTTGTATCCTGATTTAAAATGCAATTTAAACAGTAATTAGGAATGTTTTATATTAGACCATTAGCAAGCCTTTACTGCACAGTTTGCCTTTGCTTTTAATTTCTACTCTTTCATTTTGGCATATGGTGGAGTGATCATAATCATACTCAAATTTGACCTACCCAACACTACTCTACCGGTGATACTTGATCTGTCACAATTTGAAGACTTATTTTTATCCTGTTCCTTTCTTCACCTATTTTTCTGTCTTACACAATAACCATCCAATTGCTGACATAACCTTACAATTGTGAGGTCTGCAAATTGTTGAATTTTCCAGAAGTACAGTAACACTTATATTCCATAACTTAGATATTGAATAACTCTTCATAAATCTGTATTATAAGTACAGTTAAAGGTAGATTAGATGGAGTAAAATTATCATAAAATGAAGAAGTCTGAACAAAACGGTAGATGCTGTACAATATATATTACACAGGTATATATACAGTAGAGTACTGGACTGTACCTGCATTGCATTATCACTTAATTTTTGGCTCTCTCAGATATTATATATCCTTAATTATTAGCTACCTTTGGGATGGTAATATATCATATCATTTATTCATAATGCATGTACTGTATACCCTATACACTCTAACCCCTCTAATTCAGGCTTCGCTATAATTTGAACATTTTGGCAATGTTAACTTACAGGATCAGCACTCGGCAATTTTTCGGCATTGAGCCCCAAATTTTCAAATTCCACAGTACTTGTGAAATGTACTCACATGTCCAGTAATTGAAACCTGTACAGTATTCCCACACATAGCCCCTTTGTTTGAATGTCCTTACTTACTTACTTTTATCCTCTTCACCACTGATCAGCTCGTTAGCCACTTGGGCGATCTGTTACGTCTCTGTTACGCACTGTTGGCAAGTACTGGGCATGCACCGGCTCCTGAATGTATCTGAACCTGCTCCAGTGCTTATCCAGTTTGGTCTTGAAAGAGCTCACAATAGGTGCCATCACAACACTCTCTGGCAGGTTGTTCCAGGAGTTCACAATTCTCACTCCGAAAAAGTTACCCCTCACAGTTTTCTGGACTTGCAGCTTCTTTAACCATGAGCTGTGTCCCCTTGTGGGGCAAGCATCTGCCAGCTCCAGGTAAGTGCACTCAACTGAGTAGTGCCCTTTGAGATGCTTGTACACCTCAATTAGATCTCCCATTGCCTGTCTGTGGTATAAGCTAGGCAAGTTCAGGCTCTCCAATCTCTCAGGGTAGCTGAGGTGCCGTAGTGCAGGCATCAGTCTGGTGGCCCTCCTTTGGACAATTTCAATCAACTGACAGTCCCTGGCATATCTCGGGGATCAGATGGGGTGACAATATTCCAGGTGGGGAAGCGCTTCACCCTTAAAGATCGTTATGAGGGACGGACCATCTAGATATCTGAACGACCTTCTTATAAGACCTAATAATTTAGTCGCCTGATTTACCTTTTTCTCGCAATGGCCCGAGAACTTCAGTTCATTGTCAACGTATACACCAAGGTCCTTTTCACATTCCGTCTCATTTAATGCAGTCTCTTCGTCCCGTTGGGACATATGATACGCCTCCTTACCGTTGGTATGTCCCAGGTGCAGCCTCTTACACTTCGTGACATTGAATCTTAGCAGCCACTTCTTCGACCATTCTTGAAGCTCACAGAGATCCTTCTGCAGCTCTTCACAGTCCACTTGGTTCTTAATTTCCCAAAATAACTTGGCATCATCTCCAAGCATCTGTTTGGAGGAATGTACAGCTTCAGGCATGTCATTTATGAAGCAAACAAACAACAGCGGGCCCTATACACTACCATGTGGTACCTGCTTTTGACAGGTACAGGTGATGATTTCGTGCCATTAACCACCACACACTGCTTGCGGTCATATAGAAAGTCTTCTATCTACGCTTGGACATTCCCCGAATCTCTTACCCTTCCAGTTTAATTTTCAGCCTTTCATGGGGTACACTGTCGAAAACCTTGGCAAAATCTAGGTAAACATTGTCGATACTACCACCCTTTTCCAGAATTTGGGTCCAAATATCCATTACCTCAAGTAATTGTGTCAAGCAGGAGTGCCTTGGCATAAATCCGTGTTGGCAATCATTTACAAGGTTGTTTCATTGTAGATGTTCCATCATGGCATCTCTTATAATGATCTCAAGTACTTTACATATTATGCTTGTTAAGCTCACTGGTCTAAAGTTATTTGTGAAGTGACGATCGCCCTTCTTGAAGATAGGACTCACGTAAGCCATTTTCCAATCACTGGAGACCTTTTGTTCATCCAGGCATTTACTGAACAAGATCTTCAGGGGCTCAGCTAGCTCAGTGCACAACTCCCTTAGCACTCTGGGATGCACCATGTCTGGTCCTTGTAAAGGTGGTAGTCAACCAAGGTAAATAAATCTTTGTTTTGTACAGTAATGCAATGCCACTAATGTTTTCACAACTCCCCATGTATCATTTGTGTGGTATAATGCAGTGTTCCATCAGAGCTAACATAATTTAATCATGCATAAATGCAGATACATTATAAGTTAAAGTAATAAAGGCAATTTTGTGTAATGTCTGAATTATCCACATCAATTGACAAAATGTCCAAATTCATTGTCCAAATTAAGATGCTTTGAGTAATTCAACAAGGGTAAAACTGAAGTTGTCTAACTAGAGGGACTCAAGAGTATATTATAAAGTACTTTCTTTGAGATGATAAAACATCACAACACAGGCTGGTAATACAGTACAGTACTCTAATGCATTTGGGATTGTAGTAGTAATTTCTGTGGCAAATCATTGTAAAATGCAAAATTGTGCCTCATGAATAAGTTTGGTTTATATATATATACTGTATATATATGTGTGTGTGTGTGTGTATTGAGTATTTCAAACCAAATGGAATTTAAATGCAAGTTGGGCATATATCCAAGGTGAGATAATTAGAGGTGTCACTGTGGGCTCATACTCTAAGCCTATTGTGGTAATGAAGGGTTAATTCTAATGTCATGTGTTCATCAGGTAACTTTTATTTTATAAAATATATAATCACTGTACTGTATTTTACCACATAAAAGATGCACACATATATAAGATGCACTCATTATTTCAGCATGGAATATATAGTAAATATCTTTTAAGTGTATTTTTTTCCTGCAATCATAGTTTTCTTATAGTGTGGATAAAATCAAATTCAATTTTAGTACAGTACAGTACTCACTCATAGCAATTGAATACAAGTCTTTGCTGCACACCAGATAATGACGTTACATGCTGGTGAGACACTACAAATGCACGGTGATGGCTGTTGGTATTATTCACTGTTATCATCATAATTTTCAGTTTCTTTCAAAATATATGTGATTTTTCCTAATAAAAATAATACGATAAATGTTGCAGGTATGACATTATTAGATGGTAATGTTTGTGAGAGTTCAGAAATGGTTGCTGCATAGTTCTAAAGAGTTGGGTATTATACAGAGGCAAATTACCTTGAGTTATCATCATCGCTAGTTATAAATCCAACTTTTCTATTTACAGTAATTCATTATTTTAATTAATCAAAAGTAATAATAATGTGTTTAAGTAAATAACATTTTTAATTCTGGATTGGGCTAGGTAGAATTTAGCCTATTGGATAGTGCAACTGGGGGATTCATTAGCCTACAGGAGACCGCAACTTCACATACCCGGTATAGGACATTGGGTAATTGTTCATGCCATTTTTCATTAAAAAGTGCATATTATATGCCATAAATTGTACATGTGTAAATACTCGTATATAAGAAAGGAAGGCTTGTGATAACTTCAAGTGTTTTTACTAAACACACATTTGATAACATGCTTCATTGTAAGATAGGTAAAACTCCAAGTAAATACCCAAGAGAATATATTATAAAGCACCTCTGGACTTATGAAGAGAGATTTAATATGATAATGTTCATTAATCACAAAATTTGTCTTTGTAATATAAATCTATTCATTGTTGTATAATTTGATAAACTGTAACACGATACACCATTGAATAGTTTTGTAGTGTTACTGAAGCTTAAGGTTGTAGCTGACACACTACAGTTCAGACATACACCTCACCTTGGGCAAGAAATATCCTAATGTAGTGCATGACAGAATAATATCTTCACTTATTACTGTCTTTTACTTGATATTAACATCCAGTGTATTTTCCTCATTCCAGTCTGCAGTATCAGGCTTATTTCATTCAAACTACTGTATGTGAAAACCATTTAGTAAATGAAAATTTTATTAATGCAATTATCAAATCCAAAATTGTGTAAAA